GGAACAGCCAACTTTAACTCAGGTTTTGGAAAAGTGAAGAAAATTTTTTAATTTTTTTTGTGGTCATTTTTATTAAGATTTTATTTTTTATTGGCAGAGAATAAAATAAAACTTGTCTGCATTTGTGTGTGTGTGTGGTAGAAGTATCGGATTTTGTACTCTGTATCGGCAAGTACTCAGATCCAAGTATCGGTATCGTATCGGTTTGAAAAAATTGGTATCGTTGCATCCCTATATGTTACCATAACTTTCTTATCTTAATAATTTAGATCATTTATGCATTTTTTCACCTCTAATGAATCATTACTATTTTACTAAGCCATTTTAGATTCTGCAATAACTTACTTCTGGTATTTTAGAGAAAACTGGTCTCACTTTGCGTTGAGGCTCTTATTTTATTCAACTTTCAACTTTGTAAACAGCTCTCTTTTTATTCAATTTGAAATTTCTAAAAATGGAAACCTACCTTCTTTTTTTAAATTATTTGATATTGGATAAAGATCAGATTATCGGAGTGAGCTAAATACCCTTTACCAGGTCACACCCAGAAAGGACACTGCTGCCGGGTAAAATTCAGGGGTAGGAACATTCTGTTGGGGGATGTGTGTTGCAAGGGGGAACAAAACAAAGTCCGGACTGAGGGGCACGCTGCTGTTTTGGTCATGTGCTAGTCGTAAAGTTTTTATCGTCCTCATGGAAGAATCGTCGCTTGTGCCTTAACTTTTTGTAGTGTCGTGGGGAGTTTGAGTGTCCGCATTTGGAAAAATGCAGGATCATAATTATTATTTCTCAGGGGAAAAGATCAAGGACGTGCTGTTGAACAAGCCTGGGCACGAAGAGGAAGAACTGGAAGAAACGAGAGTGTTCCTAGGCGTCGCCTTCTCCAGGTGGACCTCGCTGAAGAGGGACAAAAGTTTTAAGAGTGATGCCGAAGTGGCCTGCTTTCTGCTGGACAGGTAATTCAAGTTGTGCCCGAAAGCGACGCGTGAATCGGTGTTACTGTTAGAAAAAATACGAAGTGAGACACAGCGTAACAATGGCGTTTATTTGCATGCGAGGAAGCAGTGTTAGCGTCGCTTCAAGCCTCTTTATCTTTCCAACACTGTGCTGGGAACAGAAACGTGTGAGACGGTTTTACAGGAAACACAATTAGCTACGCGGTGTACTAGTACAGGGGTACTCAACCAGGATTTAGAGGTCAAGCAACATAGAACTATACGTACACACATTATAACCATTGAAACATGATAACTGTGCACGTTCAAGTGACGGCTGTGAACAGTTTTAGAGGCTCATTTTCTTCCGCTCCTTTAATCAACTCCCCCACTTGTTTGCTCGTTAAGATAATTGAGCGCCAGCTTGTCCTTCGTCACTTCCTCTCTTTGGCAACATTGCCACATTCAATATATTTGAATGATACGGTTAGCGCCCAGTTAGCTCCTAGCATTTCTCAGCAGCTCTGCCTCCTTTTCGACTACCGGGATATTTAAAAAATGGATAATCCGTATACAAACAAATTCATGTTTTTCTTCTCAACAGAGAGCGTTCCCCGATTGAACAACAGCGCCGTCAAATAAGAAGAATGGCGCCTAATTATAGAGTTCATAATACAGACTTTGTAATATGTCACGTGACGATTCATCAGCCAGATTAAGTGTTTACTGACAATTGACAGTGATAGCGGACATCATCATCACTTTTCTAATCAATCCTCTCCACACAGACAAGCATAAACACACTCGACTATCACTAAATCAAATTTAACACACGTTTGTAATGACGCTAATTCAGTTTACAATAGGGTTTATTCACTCGGTCAGCAGGTGGCAGTATCCTTGTACACTGGGGAATATTCTGCCATTAAGCAAACAGAAAAAGAAGAAAACATCTGCACATGCGTGGTACGGATCGGTTAGACCCGAGTTCTACGGTCCGACTTTGCACATGCGCAGTAAGGATCGGGAGTCCTGATCCGTAACTATCTTTTTATTTTTCGTTTTTGTCTACATTATATTGAAATGTTTCATTATTGGAAACATTTTAAGAGATTTTTATATTATTATTTTATATTATTCTTAACATCTGAACAGATACTCGGACCCGTAACTATCGTAAAAAGCTTCGACCGGAAGTAGACACCTTTCGCGCATGCGGGGTACCGATTGGGTAGTGACAAACCCATGTGTTCTGGGAATCCACCCTACCTCAAAAAACATCCTACTCAATGTTTCTGCGCAGACTCGGCGCATGCGCACAACACCAAACTCACATTAACTTCTTTTTGTCTCACCCATTCGGAATACTTCTTCAGGTTAGGGTTATGGTTAGGGTTTAGTCACAAGTCACCGTCAAATTATAATACGGGTAGGTCAGAGTATGATGGTTTCTCAAAACCGGGAGAGCAGGTACTAAAAAAGTACTTGCTACCAAGTAATATGATCTAATGGAAAACCCTGAAAACCATGCTGAGGCAATCTGACTAGGTACTAGTTAAAAAAGGGCTTAACTCCGAGCTGTGGCACTGTAGGGTCTTAGTATTTACCACCATCATTATTGCATTACACCTAGGGCTGCCACAAACGATTATTTTGATAGTCGAGTAGTCACCAATTATTTTTGCGATTAGTCGACTAATCAGATCATCATCCACTGGACATAAAGCGTACAGCTTATTGCACCAGCAGCATCTGCTCTTATGTAACTATCATTAGCTTACAGCTTTAAGTTTTTAAGGTATGTGCTAACTAAAAATAAAGACAAGATGATAGTTTATTAAACTTTTAATGGAATTTGCAGATTGTCTCAGTGGTGTTTAATAAACTCAGCCGTCTGCTCCTTGCTCACTAAAATATAATAGGACACTGGAATAAATTCTCACATTTGTTTAATCAGTTTTCTGTTTGACGTTTATTCAGCTGTGTGAAAACTATAACTTTAATCTCAGCCAAACTGATTTACTCAGGAACAAATAAAACACTGAAAAAAGCCAAACAATAACATTTTTGTTATCTAAGTGACTTATATATCATGTTTAACCTGAGTAGCGAAAGACTGCAGGGGGTTTGCGGTTCTCACCAGCTTAGTGAGCCTTGAGCCCCCCGGCTAGCTATCGAGCTGGTGGGTAACGGACGTCTCCGAAAACGTCGGAGCACTTTTGCAAAAATGTGATGTCTTGATAAACCGAGCAGATATTTGAAGGTTACACAGCTACATTCTCGCCTGAAAATATGTTAAAAGTTTAGCAATAGCGTAATGAGCCTACAAATGCGGCCACCAAAGGATGCGGCTCCTGAATTTGTACACAGCTACAATACCGGAGCCAGCTTCTTCTTCTTTGGCGTTTAATGGTAGCTGGCATCCTTGTACATGCATTGCTCCAACCTTCTGTTTCAGTCCGTTCTTACACCCTGAAATCCTACTACTTATTCCTGCATCTTTCAGGATCTTACAAAGCTTCAAACAACGTGTCAGCTATTAAATTAGTCGACGTAATCGTGACTAGTCGACTAATCGTGGCAGCCCTAATTACACCCCAGTGCTGTCTGCAGTGTCATCATAGATCATCTGTGCAGTCGTCCACCTTCTGCCCTATTTGGTGATACATGATGGTCTTGGTTAGAGCAGTTTCGATCAGTCTCTGGATCAACCTTCTCAGGGAGGGAACACAGCAGCATTCGCAAACAGTCAGCAAGGCCATTGCAACTGCTTACTTGTATGTTAGATGGAGGTACATGACCATCAGCTTCCTTTGGGATAACTGCGAGTAACGGCACTGTCACAAAGAACAGTTATTGGCTTACCTGTAGCAAGCAAGGATACTTGAGGCAGTTTTTCAGCTGAATTTAAGGAAATCACTACATTTTCAAAGACAACACTTCTGATTTCCTCCCATCCCACTTATCTTGGTGGTTATCATCCCTCTTGCGTTGATGTGCATGGCATAATAATTTGACACTGTTTAAACTACAATTTCCAGAAGATGGACTACAAAATACACATCTTCATGTTTTTACTGCATTGTTACAGCTGGTCTCAGAAACAATGGTGTGAAATGAAAAAAACACTTTATTAACTTTGTGCTGTTCAGCGGTGTAATTTTAAAAATGTGTATTTATCAATGTTAAAAAGGGTTCGAGTTTCACAAATTAATGTGTGTTTTGATGTTTGATCTGTACAACAGTGTTAGGTTTGGGTTAAATGTTGTTTCATTTGATTGATTCATAAGATAGGAACAGTCAGTGAGGAAGGTTAATGCCACCAGCAGTTGTGTCATGTAGAATTTAACATTTTGATGTTTTTGTTGTTTCCTCCAGCTATGAGAGAGTTGAGATGACATCAGCGCCCACAAAGGAAAAGCTTTCACAAGTCCCAGCTCCAGCTACCTTTGGCACCAGTCATTCTTTTAATGGACCCAACAGGCAAGTCCTTCCATATCAAGAAATTCCATATGTTTTAATGAATACATATTCATATATGTACACTACCAGTTTAAAGTTTGGACACACCTTCTCATTTAATGTTTTTTTTCTTTATTTTCATGACTCTTTACATTGTAGATTCTCACTGAAAGCATCAAAACTATGAATAAACACATTTGGAGTTATGTAATACATGAAAAAGTGTGAAATAACTTAAAACATGGTTTATATTTTAGATTATTCAAAATAGGCACCTTTGCGTCTTCAGGTTGTTACCTGAAATGGTTTTCCAACAGCCTTGAAGGAGTTCTTAGAGATGCTGAGCACTTGTTGGCCCTTTTGCCTTCAGTCTGCGGTCCATCTCATCCCAAACCATTTTGATTGGGTTTAGGTCAGTTGACTGTGGAGGCCAGGGCATCTGGCGCAGCACTCCATCACTCTCCTTCCTGGTTAAATAGCCCTTACACAGCCTGGAGGTGTGTTTGTCCTTTTGAAAAATAAATGGTAGTCTAACTAAACACAAACCGGATGGGATGGCATGTCACTATAGGATGCTGTGGTAACCAAGCTGGTTCGGTGTGCCTTCAATTTTGAATAAATCCCCAATAGTGTCACCAGCAAAGCACCCCCACACCGTCACACCACCTCCTCCATGCTTCACGTTGGGAACCATGCATGTAGAGACCATTCGTTCCCCTTTTCTGCATCACACAAAGACACGGCAGGTGGAACCAAAGATCTCAAATTTGGACTAATCAGACCAAAACACAGATTTACACGGGTCTAATGTCCATTCCTTGTATTTCTTGGCCCAGACAAATCTTTTCTGTTTGTTGATTTCCTTAGTGGTAGTTTCTCAGCAGCTATTTGACCATAAAGGCCTGATTCACACTGTGTCATCTGAACTGTTGATGTAGAGACGCGTCTGTTACTGGAGCTCTGTGTGGCATTTTCCTGGGGTGTAGTTAACTTGTGATTTCTGAGGCTCGTGACTCAGATGAATTTATCCTCAGCAGCAGAGGTGACTCCTGGTCTTCCTTTCCTGGGGCGGTCCTCATGCGAGCCAGTTTTCTCATTGCGCTTGATGGTCTTTGTGACTGCACCCGGGAACACATTCAAAGTTTTTGCAGTTTTCTGGACTGACTGACCTTCTGTTCTTAAAGTAATGATGGGCTGTTGTTTCTCTTTACTTAGCTGATAGTTTTTGCCATAATATGAATTCTAACAGTTGTCAAATAGGGCTGTCAGCTGTACCAACTCTGCACAACACAACTGGTAGTCCCAACAACATTTAGAAAGCAAGAAATTCCTCAAATGAACCCTGGCAGGCACACCTGTGAAGTGAAAACCATTTCAGGTGACTATGGCTGTGTCCCATTTCAGGGTCTGCACGCTTGAAGTACGCGCACTACGCGTACTACGTACGGTGCGTACTATAAGTACGAGAAGTGCGGAAGTGAGAGGCTTGTGAAATGGGACGGTATATGCTTCGTCGCGCTGTTCAGGTTGCCTAGCAACCATGATACTAACCATGAGACACGTTACATACAGCTTTGTTTGACAGAAATGAAGGAGAAAATTGTTTTGTTGGTCAATCATTTTTGTCATGACATCACTTTGATTAGTTGAGTATCTGAGGCTGAGACCACAGGACTGTAAAACATGATTCAAGGGCTTCATTTCTGTATTGAACAGTCATTTAAGATTAGCTAGTAAATAATAATTAGTTAATGTTGTTCATGAGACTAAAGTCATTTCACTATGGTAATGTAAATATAATATGGCCAATATTATAGTATTGTCAGATTATTATGATTGATATATATATATATCACTGACTTTCAGCTTGTTGTGTTTGTGGATATATGACTGACTTTAATTATCCATAAAATCATCAGATTCTCTGTAAGATTAAGGTCGACTATATGTATATTTAGAAGTAGAGGCTTTAAAACCAAGTTAATGCTGAAAGTACAAACATCACTAGTGTCACATAACTTTGCCAACATGTGGCCAACAGCAATGTTTTAATGTTCTTCGTTATTAAACATTCGCACATGAATAAGTGACGTCATATTCAGTACTTACTTTTGACAGTTCACTTTTCGGCCGCTCCCTTCTGCCGTATTTTGCGGCAAAATTATCCACACCCACGCCGCGCTATGAATTGTGGGATATGGGACCACGAAGCATGCACCGGACCACGCTTGATATTTGGGGAAATCGACGGCGCATTTGGAGTATGCATTTCAAGTACACTTCGAATTGGGACAGCCGTCGTCGCGTGGCGGTGACGTAACCGCACTTAAAATGTGTACTTCAAGCGTGCAGACCCTGAAATGGGACACAGCGTATATCATGAAGCTCATTAAGAGAAGGCCAAGGATTTGCAGCTCTGTCTACAAAGCAAAGGGTGGCTACTTTCAGGAATGTAAAATATAAGATATATTTGGGATTATTTATAAATTTTTACTTTGCTACACAATTACATACATCTTGCTTCATATATTTGATGTCTTCAGTATGTAGGTGAAGGAAAGATGTG